ACCTACCCTTATTATGGTATGTGTACTTCAGTTTTTGCTTCATGATTCATACTCGATCGACGATAGTGTTCTTTTTTCTATCGTGTGTCATGCGGGTGACAGCAAGCATTGGCCCATAATTGACTGTAGAACGAGGCAATGAGTCATGTTGTCACGTTACGAAAAAAGAAAAGAATATTTCTCCACTTTTTTGCGCCCGATTTCTATTTTTATTGAGAAGCAGGCGGCGTATCCACAATTAGATGTTTTTACTACATGAGTGTCGATAACAGAGCGAGAAAATGGATTGTGAGTAATGCAGTTGTCTTGTTTTGTTGATTCTGACGTATTAAAACAATAATCGAGAAAGATGAGTTTCGGATTGGAACTTCACTCCTTTAGTTTTTTCTGAAATTCGTTGTATTAAGGAGCTACCAAGTTAACATTAAACTGAGATGCTTCACAAGTAGTTAACATAGAAGTCATATAAACTTAACCTAAGTTTTAATCAAGAGTAGAATGGATTTATTTCCTATCAACCGAATTTCTTAAGAAAATCGCTAGATCGAAATGATCGTTTGATATTTTATGATTTCTCTACGTTCTGATAATTCAATTCGAACTTGAATTAATTTCTTACTTGGGAAACAACATGCAGTTTTCAATGGATCCATTTGAGTATCTATCGAAGAAGTTAAGAATACAATTGAATTTTATCCGAGTTTACGCAAGATATTATTACATCAGTAAGACAGCAAAGATCGATTAGCTATTCTAAATAATGCACTCTGTTAGTTCGGGGCTTGACAATTCGTCCCAAAATATTTTTCTCATGTTTGATAGAACTTCCTACGCACTAAAATAAAATGTGTCTCACTTACGTGTCGCAATTCATTGTGTCGCAGACTCAATGACGAAAATGTGTCGTAGTTAGAATGTGTTATATAAAAAATTATTTCGTTCTGTCTGCTGGCTATTCATTCACCGTTTTGCTTTGGACACATAGCTACATATAAGCAACACAATTGAACACACGAAACTTATATCTTTATATTAATTATTTTTTTGGATTATTTCTCGATTATTTATTAGTCGAGAAGATGCCGATCTAGATCGATTATCGCGAGAGGGCTAAAATAAAACGGTCTGATGTAGATTGAACCAATTCGAGGTCGGACAGATCCCAAGATATGACCCGCTTGAATTTTTAGAATAAAAATAATTGAATGACATTAAATCGAAAAAATATCGAAATTCATTTTTAAGAAAAAAAACTAAAAATGCGCTCTATAATAGATTCGAACCATGTTTTAAAGCTGTGTCGTGCAAAAATGTGTTGTCCCGTCGCTGGACAAAATGTGTCGCAGTGAGCACCTTGTGTCGCACTTAAATGTGTTGTACATTATGTCGCAAAGTGCGGTGCATGCAGCACATTTTATTTTAGTGTGTAAAATTGTCATTTCTATCAGGTGTTTAGTCTTGAAAGGAGACATCTCTCTTACTGGCATGTTGGCGATCTCGCAGCAACCATTAGACTTATTTATGGCGGAAATTCTCACGTAAACTATCGGATCTCGAATGTTTCTGACTTTTTATTACAAAAAACCTAATTTTCTCACCTTCGAACTATAATGTTTTGCTTTCACTTTTGTTCGACTCTGATCGTTGCACTCTAAGCGACAATCAGATATCGTTAAGTCACGTTGTTTGTTTTATTAGAACTCTTGATTTGTGCGTTCGGCGTTGTCTGTTTGATTCTATCTTTCATCCAAAATTGAAAAATGAGAAATCTGTCAATAACTTTTTTGAATGAAAAGCATCTAAGATTTGTCGACCGATCAGAGAGAGAAACAAGCTGCTGCGCTGAATTTAGTTTTCTTACACGCGACTTCTTGACTATATTTTCATTGCAATAAGCTGTGTTTGATTCAATAGATCTGCTACTATTTAGCATATTGCCATGGAGCAAAATCCCTGTTGTCTCTCATCAAATGTTATGGCGCAAAGCTCTGCAAAGAAATCCGGTTATGATTTCTTATTCAAAGTAACTCTGATAGGCGACAACGCCGTCGGCAAAGTAAGATGCCTATAGTAAATAAATTGAATTGCTTTTTAAATTCGATTCAATATTCGAATAGTCGAGTCTATTCAATCGTCTCATTTACAATGAATTTTCTGATTGTCCAACAGCAACAATTGGATTTGATTTTGGCGTTAAACAGCTTTTGATCGATAGCAAAAGGATCAAAGTTCAAGTCTGGGTGAGCTATCCGTTTTCCGGTCTTATTAATATATGTGTGTTTGTCTTTAGGACACACCAGGCCATAATCGATTCAAACAAGTAACTGAAGCTTGTAGTCGTCATAGCCATGGCGCTTTAGCCGTATTCGATTTACGGTATCCCGATAGTTTCGATGAAGTTTTTCTACGAATCGAAGACTTTCGTCGAGCAACTTTGGCCGATATTCCAGTTATTCTTGTCGGCAACAAATCTGATTTGGCCAATCAACGAAAAGTGAGCCGTGAGCAAGCAACGGCCCTCGCCAAACGCCTCAACATATTATACATAGAAACATCGGGACACGATGCGTCCAATGTTGAAGAAGCACTCGTAACTGTTGTCACAGCCATCTATCATAAGATGCACAAATAAAGCGGCACTTTACTACCATCGGTACGCCCCATTTCAGTTTCGTTCCAACCAATCACTGAAATGACTACACAACCGGAAAATATATAATCCGATAAGAATACTTTTAGTTGACCAAAACTAAACTATAGGTTTGAGGGAGTCAATAATTGTTTTTATTGATGGGTAAATATTGAACATGAAGAAAATTGTTTTCATAGCAACAATAAATTTTGAAGTTGACCTTATTGTTTGAGAATTATTTTTTTAAGGGCCCCTTCAGGAAAGTCAATTTTGGTCAAATTTATCGATTTTGTGATTTATAACTCATTAGATAGAGCAAAGTGTCTACTCTCGAATGCGCTATAGTTGATTGATTTTATGATGAGATCTAAGGATATTACGTAGGCTTTTCTGAACCCCCATATTGAAAAAAATAAGGTTTTTAAAAACTTATTCTCCGTTTTTCTCAAAATCAGTTTTTTCGAGTATACCGTTTACGCGGGAAATCTTTCTCAGTAACGACTCAATATAAAAGTGGTAACATTTTTTTGTTATACAGCAGATACTTGAGGCTAAATCCTAATAGGGCCCGATTTTTGAATTTCTTCTTTGTTTACATAAAAAACTTAGATCTTTAATTTTAATTAGAGATTTTTTCGTCATGAATTTGAGAATTTTTCGGAAACGTTTTTTTAAAATCAAGCAAAGGAAAACTAAAAAAACGGGCTCTATTAGAATCTAGCCCTTATTGTACTCTACAATTTAAAAAGCATCCCGACATGCTTAGCTCATATTCTTATTTTGAAAACCTTCCCCACGTACACGGTGTTTTTGACCAATGAATTGACTATAACTCGTGAGTATCTTGGAAATTTGGGGAGATATTTTAACCATAATCTATTCTAGCCAAGACTAGCATTCTCTGAAATGTTGGTTGAAATCGGATGAAAAATAAAAAAAGTTTGCTTGTGAGGGGACTTCCTTAAAATAACAGTCCACGTTTCGAACTATATCACTAAAAAGAATTCAACGCAATATTAATCAACTTCGATCTCAATCATAAGTGACATGACATAGTTTTTATTAGCTGTTCCGATGAAAAAAAATTCGGCCTGGTTTATCTCGGAAAGTGCCTGCAGGTCACGACAGGCTGAAAAAAGTGGCCTGTTGGGAGCTATGGTTCGATTGTCAAAGAAGGTAATGTAAAGCTGTGAGATTAGTTGACGGATGAATTTACAGAAAGGTCTCTCTGCATGTGTATAATCTATCAATAAAGTCGTCGCTATTATAAAGAAAGGCGTCTCCTTTATCTCATTAACAATCTCTCAACAGTTGCCACACGTTTGCAAGGAGCAAAAGGCTCTTGCTAAATAGGGAAATTAACATGTTTTGTATAAAATTTCTTTCCGTGGTAATAAAATAAATTTCAGGACTCTTAATAGAAAAAACTTTCTTTTTCAAAAATTATTGAAATCAAGGGGCTAAGCAATATTGAATAATGTACGAACTGACAGCAAAGCTGTGAAAGGCATGGTGGAGCAAAATTTCAACAGTGCTGTTTTCATACAGTAATAATGACATCTATCAATTATGTTCATGCGTGTAGGAAATGGGAAATTCGTAATAGAAAAATGATCAATCAAATATCGGGCTGTAAATGCCATTGAATGCCATGTTTTTTCTCCAGTTGGTCTGAGTTGAGTGTTTAGCATGAGTCTGTTTTGACCAAGAGTCAACTGCAGTTTATTTAATTCCGCTTTGAACGGTTTGATTTCGACTTGACTTGTTGAACCGCATTCTGTTTTGATCGCAAGTTTCTTTTCGAGGCAGATTGAATGCCTTTTTCCTTTTTGGACGTGTCTGAGTATGTGTGAGGTGTGTGTGTGGTTGAAAAGAAGACTCATCTACACCCACACCCCACACCCCACACCCACACCCACACCCACACCCACACCCACACCCACACCCACACCCACACCCACAACCACCCATGTAAATACCAGACGCAGAATATCCGCGTGCAATCGCGGTTCTGTTGTAAACCGCGTTTAGACGCGTTGAAAATCGATTTTCACCGCGTACAAACGCGTTTTCATATACAATCGCGTTCATACGCAGCTAAAGAAATTTTTCAAGCGCGTTTGAAAGCAATTGTAAATGAAATCGCGTTGGGACGCGGTCAAAAAAGATTTCGAACCACGGTTACACGCGACTTTTGAATAAAATCGCATACAAACGCGTTTAGTAAAAATGTCTGCACGCGCCTGGTCGCGATTTTCTATAAGACCGCATGTAAACGCGTTTAGTAAAAATGTCTGCACGCGCCTAGACGCGATTTTCTATAAGACCGCATGTAAACGCGTTTAGTAAAAATGTCTGCACGCGTCTGGACGCGATTTTCTATAGGACCGCCTGTAAACGCGTTTAGTAAAAATGTCTGCACGCGCCTACACGCGATTTTCTATTACACCGAATGCGTCTGGACGCAATTTTATATTAAAACGCGTGTGTACGCGATTTGCCAAAAACTATTTAAAAGAAGACATAGAATTTTATTATCTGTCGTTTAGTTGAATTTGGCAAGAATAGGAAGAAACTATTAGTTTAAAGATTTAGGTACTTCATATATAAGCCAAAGAAGGTTTTTCAGAATAAAATAAATTCCCTTAGACACTTCATTTATTTAACGTAGCAAAATATACGAGTGACCAATAATATAATGAGACTATCTCTCTACTCAGCACTATTTCTTTTAATCGATAACGTCTTTTCAAAATAAGTGATAAATATCAACTTTGTTGGTTTATTTTTGTTGTCTACCCTCCTGTCTACCATACAATTATTCCAACTCATTTGAGTGGTATTTTCAAATATATACTTAGTAAAAAAAACATCCTATATATTTCCATTCATATAACTAACCTAGATAACTTTCAAAATTAAAAGTTGAATAATTGTAAACACCACCAAAATCTCTGATTGATTCAGACAAATGTATAATAGAATGGACTGATATCACATTTTGTCGATCACCATACAGCAATGGAAATTGATAAATAAATTGGCTTGTTAAAAGTTTGATTTGTGATAACTGTTCAGAAGTAATGGTTTTTGATTCGCAAAGATGTGCTGCAATAACAAGTAATAAAAAATGTCGACAATATTTATTTGGTAAATGCATGCAAAATGATAAAAACCCGAATAAAAGGACACATCTTAACTCATTTGCTTTAAAATGATAATATTTTAAAATTGTTCTTGGTATTCGGTATGTTGTCGAAGGAAATTTATGAGTAGATAGAGAAATATCAATAACTCCAATTCTTGATTTTAACGATCACGGTTGATGACAATGTTGTGTATCAAACCATAGATCGAGAAGTCTGCTCTAAAATACGAAAGATGCAAGTTTTTTTCACTTTTTGATCAAAAAAAAATCCTTTGATAGTTAAATTATAGGTTATATACTCAATTCAAGCTTTGCTTTCAGGATAAAATATACTCTATCATCAAATAATTATACTTCCATTGATGAAATGTTATGCTTCTAAAACTAATTGATTGTTGTTGTGAAAAGCGTAGCGTTCGATTTATTTCAAATCGTGTATGTCATTTTCATATTATTTTGTTATGGAAAGAAGATGTGCAAGAAGATACGTAAACACAAACAGAAAACCTATTAGATAAATCTCTTTTTCCACACATACACATCATTTCTACATTAGCCATCGGGTATGGATAAGAAATAAACTTGCAAAATCTGCACTAAGTGCTGTAACGACGTGTATTAGTTAGCTAAAGAAACGCAAAGAAGACATTTTGGAAATTAAAAAGAACGTTTGTATATTGACACGATTTGAAAAGAAGCTTTACTAACTATTAAAAAAACAGCATATTTAATAAATACTTACAAATGTTCCTCTGTACAGGTTATGAAGTGTATCGAATGCAAAACTTCGACCCACATCAAAATAACGTAAATCTCGCAGATGACATTCACCCATATATCCACACATGTAATCACGACGAGCATTTTTTTTCTTTGGTCGAAAGCTTTCTGGTATTGCCATTTTAACATCGTAAGTAAAATTGTTTCTAAGTTTTGGTTGATCATCATTTTTTCGAATTGAAAAGACTCGAATTTTTTTTTTGGATTCAGGTTTAGTTGGTACTGTAATACCTAAAAAATAAAATTAAGAATATGATTATGTTAAAAGTAAATAAATAACAGTAAAAATCAAATATCTATCGGCTTTTAGATGACGCTTAGAAACAAATTCGTTTTAAAGCTGAACCGATCTGAAATTAACATCACGAATCATATTCTAATTTGTAACTTTGTTTTTTTAATCTTTTATTGACTAAATATTTTCTGATCTTTACAACTTCTCTGATTCTTCTTTCCATCTCCACATTTCTTGAACGATATTATGATCCATCTACAATTTTCAAATCAACCATACCTTTAATTAAACATTTTCCACAACCAAAGACCCCATTCACTTCAGTAAGATTTTGTACAAGCGCCTGTGCAGGCTTATCCATCGAACCTGCTATTAAAAAAACTTTAAAAAATAAATAAGATCCATCGCTTGTTTCAAAACAACATTCATTTTCCAAACTTAATAATTCATTGATAATTGGTTGCAAATATACACCCATTTCATTTCGAGTTGGTTTTGATAAACCTGCTCCAATACCACCAACCAAAACATTTTGTATTTGAAATCTTTCACGTTTGTTTAATTCACTAATGATAAAGGTTATAATCCATAATGAAGATTGAGAACTTTTTGAAATTTCAATTCCATCAACATTCATAACCAATGAAATAAAATTTTCTCCTTCGTTTTCTAAAATTTTCTTGTATACTACACCTTCAGAAATATTCGAAGAACTAGCCGATGTAAAATTAGATTGTCGTTGAAAATAATTTGATGGAAAACGTGATAATACGTTCTCTATTTGAGGTTTTAAAGGCATGCGAACAAAAACAGATGGTTTTTCATTAAAACCTTTGTATTCACCACAGTTGGCATTGGAGCAATTCGTTTCCTTAGCAGACATTCTATTGCATTTAGAACAAAAATACGATGGTGGTATAAAATCAGCTGTTGTTTCTGATAAAAGGATACGTTTTATATGAGCAAAACTTTTTGGAACGTTTTGAGTCTTTAGCAGCCGCATTAATTGACAAAAGTGATCTAAGCAACGATTTGATAATTTATGTCTAATTTTGAGGATACTAAGAGCAGCAGCAACTTCATGAATTGATGGTTCAGCAGATCTTATAGAAAAAAAAAGAAGCTGGAGAACACAATAAATTAAAAATATATATATTTAGATATACTAATGTTGGACATAAAGGTCATTGTGCTTTGAAAATAGTAATATTTCATACGGAGTCATCTTTATATTTTTATGACACTATAATTTTGTTTCCTTCACGTATCTGAGCATTTGGAAAGCTATAGGATTTTGTAATAAATAATTATTCAAAATTCTAGTATACTTTATATCAATTGTTAGTATTTAACCTAATCTTATAATATATCCGTTTATGAACAATCTCTACAAGATATATGACAGTATAATGAGCACAGGAAAGGTATTTGAGAACTACAAAGCTGTAGCAAAGAGAATATAGATTATTCTTATCAGTAATATATAATTATTTAAAAGAGGATTATAATATTTTTGTTTAAAAAATGAAAAAATCATCTGTTATGACGTTAACTTGCATACCAGTACAAAATAAACCTTTAGCAATTTGATAACAGAAATATTTTAACTTAGTGTAAGTCTGATTTATTATAAAATTTCAAATGAATATTATTTGAAAAAGTATTAAAATATGAATGAAGAGGATAAACGCTCACAAATTAAAAAATTCACTATCTTCCCCATGATTTTCATATGAAGCTTCTGAATTAATTTGTACATCATCAAACACATATTTCTCTTCATCAGTCCCAATAAACTCTATTTCATCTTCAAAATTAGTTGTAAAACAAGTAGATTGTTCATCCAGAAGACTTTCATCATCTTCACGACTATGTGATTGTGCTGGATTTGAAAGAGCAGTATCTTGATGAAAAAGATGGCTTGACCTACATATCGAATAATATGTTAAATTCGAATAAAATTAATCAAATTTTTTTATTAACATACTGGTTTTCAATTAAATTTTTTAATGAAACATTGACCGGCGTTATTTCATTAAGACAATCTCTAGCACGTCGACGACGACGCCATATTGTTGATCTAGAGGACATCTAGAATAACATAAAAATGAACTATCTTTCTCCTTTTCTTCCTTTATATGAATGGTTATGCTTGATCAATATAAGTTTTCACAAAAAATATGTTGACAATCTGTTTTCCTTCTAGTCGATGATCATCGTCGTGATCCAATATTGTATTACTACACATTGTTGTCGTCTTATTTGCAACACTTGATGTCGATTTCTTCGAACAAAGCATTTTGGTAATTTTTTGTTGATTATAATCAGTTTTCTGTTTCTTGACTGATGGTACCATTGTAAATCTTTGCACATTTTCCTTATCTCTTTTTGCTTGACGAAAGACGCCATTGATGGCTTCATTAAAGTCATGTTTAGGTATTACACCATGGTGCAATTCCACAAAATCTAAATTAGAATCAAGTAAGTTTATAAAGAATTACAAAAAAATAACGTCTATTAATGATAAGAACCTTGTAGATCATATGAACTGTTCTAATATGTTTCTCCTCTGTTTATGTCACATATTCATAAATAGGCATTAGCCTATTAATTCAAAGTCATCTACGAATCTCAAAGAGATACATCGACATCTTATCTCTGTTTTTAGTAAAGAACTAGTCATAGAAATAGTACTCACTACGAATAGCTTCTCGTAATTGTTTGGAGACAGCTTCTGGTCCGGTTTTTCCTGACAGCTCTTCCTCCGAAAATAAAGCACGAATAATTTTTCGACCTGTGGCTGTACCACTATCATCAATACAAGTAAGAAGTGCATTAGGATTAATATTGTTTATTAGTGTCGCATGTTCACAAATAGTTTTTGCAGATAATTGTTCACCCAATCTTTTTCCAACATTAATGAACCATGAGCGAGCTCCTGCATTGGGTAGAGCTAAAATAGATGAATGTTAAAAGAAATCTTTTTTTAAAATCCAATATTGCAACAAATAGCAGCTGCATTGATACCACCACTGAAACATTTAATGTCGAAGTAGTAACAACACAATTACACAGAGGATTGTTTTTTATTACAAGATTAAAACTTTAAAAGATAAAAGATTTAGAACTCTTTCTGGATTCTTTCAAGAGAATATTTGATGGATAACTTAGAGAGAGTCTAATTGAGAAATATATACAATTCTGTGCATAAGACCATGTTTTTAATATTCATATGTGAATAATATATGCATTCTGGACATCGTAGATAAATAAAATGCAAACTAAAAATATAACTATAACCAATTGTGTACTTACGAACATAATTTTTTTTATAAAAATCAATTTGTTTTTGTAATGTTACAATTTCATTCTTTTTTTTTTGAAGTCTTCTCTCCAATCTGTTATGTTTCTCTCTTGAAACATATTCTGATTGATTTTTTTCATTAGCCTCTTCTTCCTCACTATCTTCAGTTGAATCTAAACAAGTTTTTATTTCGAAAAGGTATCAAGTAAAAAATAGTATTTACCATCTTCGTGAGTAACCGATTTCAACATTGGTTGAGATCGTGCTTGATTTAATGAAGCAGTTGAAATTAAATTTTTAGATAAAATTTGATGATTAACATCCGTTATTTGTTTAGCTGATAATTCACTAACAGCAACATTGTTGAATTTTGATTTTTTTGAACAATCATTGATTTCATAAACTTCGTCTTCTAAAACGATAAATTAGGTAATAGAAATGTGTACAGGTCTGATATCAGAATTTCGCCTGAAGAAGCTTATTAAAAACGCAGGCTATTTTTAGAATATTTCTCTTAAAAAAAAAAATGTTCGAACCTTCAAAAATATTCTCATTTGTTGATAAGAAGTCAGTGTTATCATTAAACAATTTTCGTTTAACTTGAGATGTTTTTTTTCCAAGACGTGTTGGTGGTGCAAAAGTAATACTACTAGCCGAATTTGTTTTTTTTGGAGTTGATGCATCAAATCGATCATTAATTTCTAAATCAAAAGAAAATCCTTTTTGTATATAAAATTCAAAGAAGTCGATAAAAATCAGTTTCTTTTTACAAAGTGAAATAGTTTAAATCAATAATGATAGATATCTTTTCGATGATAATTAATTCAATACTTCGTGCTGGCGAATGTGGTTTAGAAAAATGCTTCCATAAAACTATAGATAATAGCATATTAATTCGATCAATTTTCTCATTCTTTCATTATATGAAGTTGATATTCAGGTTCTAATATGACTGTCTAGAGAATTTAACAATAATCTTCTATGAAAAATATATTAATATGCAAACAACATCTGTTTATATCCTGATGTGTAAACAGTTCAATATTTCTTTTGGAATGCAACATCTTCGATCTTTCATTTCGGTATTTATACTCAAAAATGTTCATTAGTGATAATTTAAGAAACATTGACCTTATTTGTGAATGGAATCACTTCTAAAAGTAAATAAAAACATGTGGGTTTCTCAAATTTATTGTTTAAAGCAGTATATTATTTCTAAAGCAAATTTTAAAAGCATCTACTATCTAAACAAAACAGTGATGGCACAAACTAGACTTTTTCATAATGTTTCTAATTCAATTGCTATAAAAAAAAAGAAAAATTACCATTTCTTTTTGATAGATCTGTTGCTGTTGTCGAACCCTTCAATACGTAATTTTCCTTGGTTTTGCTTTGAAGTTGATTATCTAGATAAAAACCACCATTGAATTTCATACGGTATAGAAGAATAAGCTTACTTATTTTTTTTTTAATATCCATAGAACGTTTTTCACAATTTGTATTATTTAAAATTGCTGATGATGAATTTGATTTGTCTATGTATTTCAAGCAAATAAAACTTTTCAGTAATAAGTAACAGAGAATAAATGAGTTTTTTGTGTTATAAAAGATCGTGAAAAAATCCATAATAAATCGGCATTCTCAATTAATTTCTGATATTTCTAATAGACTCAAATACATTTCAGTGCTAATTACTGAGCTTATTTTTAGAAAAATACTGCACAGATTTTTCTAGATGAACTATATTACAAAAGATATTTGATATGCGTTTGTATGTCAAAATAAAATCCTCATTTATCTGTGACGATAATAATCTAATATGCCTATTAGACTCAGAAAATGAAAGTTTCAGTCAGCTTTTAATCATAGAAATAGCAATCTAAGATTTTAACACAATATTTCTGCCGGATATTTTTTCATAATTGAACGAACGTCTTTTTTTTTAATTGTAGTTTGATGTAATTCACATATTTACTTTTTGTGTTTTCTAGAATTTGATCTTCTTCAATATTCTCCTCTTCTATAATTTGAAGTTGTTCAACACATAAATCTTCACTACCTATAAAAAAAATAGGCAAACAATATTGTATAAAAATTTTTAAGAATTACAAACTAACCGAAGAGCAGTACTTTTCCACGTTCTGATTTTCGAGAATCGGTAGTTGACCTGTATGTAGCAGTTTCGTTTACTTTTACAGTTTTACCAAAATTAATAAAACAATCCAAAGGTACAAGAATAACTTTATTATCTTTTTCTCTTTGGACTATAGCATGAGTATGTTCTTCAGGACATTGAACAACTGCAATCAAAGAATTCGATTGCGAATGAACACTCGAAACAGAGTTTTGTCGAGAACGCTTTCCTTCCATCTGTGAACAAACAAAAGAGTAATACAGCAAGATATTCTAAATGTAAATCTAAAAAAAGAGTTAATTTGAATTTTATAGATATAGTTTTTGATTATTAACGATAAAAGCAACTTGCACTAAATTGTCTTGCTATAAAGCTGCTGAAGTACTGACAGTATTTTCTATAGAAAAGCTTAACAGTCTATAACGAACACATTTTAAAACGGAGCACAAAGAAACCAACAGTTTATTGGAGGATTTTTTATTAGAAAAAACTTCATTTACTACTTCATTTATGAACAACATCTAAGAAGTTGTTCTCTTAATTGCGATTACGAAGTGTACTCAAGAAAAATGCTAAATTTTTTTCATAGGTGGTGCTGTTATGGCTTGAATTATGTGATACTGAATTTTATTACTTAATGGAAGTAATTAGTTTTATAAGTATGCAGAAGATTTTGGGAAATTTACAAGAATTTTTTTCAATTTGAAGACTTAAGATATATTTTGATCATGAAGATCATTCTATTATCAACAATCTTGTTCAAATATAGGTGAGGAGAGAAAAAAGTGTAAGGTATTAAAGATAACGTGTGCTTCTCATCATTTTAAATGTCAACTAGTTATTTATACTATACATTGCTTTTAATGATATTTTTAGATTCATAAGTTTGAAAATGTACGTGGCTCTATAAGTACAAAGACGTTTGCCAAAAAAAACTTTTGGTATCATTAAAAAAAGAATTATTCGTTGAAAATTTTCAAGATTATCTTTTTGTTTGTATTTGACTGGAACTATTAAACAAATCATTTTAATTACGTTATATATTGGATAGACAGATGTAGTTACACCTTCTCGTCATCAATTACTTACTTATTAAACAAATGTCATTTTCATGCATTACGGATGTTCATAATTAATGTTCAAATGTATATTCTAGACGTATAAAATAAATTTTGCATTTCACCTTCCAATTATTTCGCTAATCTGTCATCATCTGGTTATCCTTTTATATTATGAAAGTTGTTTGACGAAAAGAGAAATTATAACGCATCATATAAAATTGTATATATTATTTATTCATATTTGAAAGCTGCAATAAAAGGCATGCATAGATATTATACCCACTAAAAAATTCCTGACCAACCAATACCTATAAGATAAATCTAATTTGAAGACTGTTAAGTGTTCAAAAATTTTCAATTTCTTTTTTCATAATCTTTTCATTAGTCCTAATAATTAGTGTTTTATACACGTTATTGTATCTTTCAATATGTTTATTATATTTTTTCTTCGTAATATAAAAAAAAACCCATATCAATGACAATATCAATCTATTGATAAAACAATTAGTCTCTTAATAATTTTTCATCAAACACAAGTATTTTTTTTCTTCGATCATAAGCAAATTTTTTTAGGAGATGCTTTTTGAATATTGAATTCAATTTGTCTATTTTGGTTTGCGATATCATGAATGAAAGTCCTTTTTAATATTTTTATTGCATAAAAAAAAGAAAGACGAAAAAAGTACATGACATTTAATAAAATACAACAACCATATAATAAATTGTAAATGATCGGCAGCATTTAATATTATAAATAATAGTCTTATGGAAAAAATATAAATGAAAATTATTTGCAAAAGAAAATTTTTCCAAATTCTTTTTATAAATTTAATACATACATAGTTTATTTTATGCTAGCTTCTTTTCATACAAGAATATGAATATTAATAATAAAAATATAATTTATATAGAAAGCGCTCTATTGATGCATGGATTTGTATATAAGATAAGATTTGAATTTACAATTCATCTATACCTTCTATTTCATTCGACTATGGTTGTAACCACATGTGGCTTCACGGTACGTATACTTGGCTCTAAATCGCTAGTTCGCTTGTTCTAATCTCATTTCTATCATTTTAGATATATCGACACTTCGACATTCCGTTCGCCTACAGTGAGGTAAAGACCATCGTTAAAGGATATCGATGGCGACTCAGATCAAACCTGAGACGGGGTGTAATATTTGTTTTAAATTTTATGTATCGAATTAAACGCATCTAGACGCGGTTTTATTTCTAAACGCGTCTAATCGCGATTTCGTTTAGAACCGCGTCTGATCGCGATGTCGTTTAAAACCGCGTCTAATCGCGATGTCGTTTAGAACCGCGTCTGATCGTGATGTCGTTTAGAACCGCGTCTGATCGCGATGTCGTTTAAAACCGCGTCTAATCGTGATGTCGTTTAGAACCGCGTCTCCAGTGAAACATTCCTTGCGTCTAGACGCGATTTTCTCCAACCGCGTCTAATCGCGATTTCGTTTAGAACCGCGTCTCCAGTGAAACATTTCTTGCGTCTAGACGCGATTTTCTCCGACCTCGTCTAGACGCGATTTTCTCCGTCCGCGTCTAGTCGCGGTGTGGTTCAGAGCTGCGTCTCCAGTGAAACATTTCTTGCGTCTAGACGCGGTTCATAATCAAATCGCGTTCAGACGCGGCTACTAACACACCGCGATCAGGCGCACTTGGAGCTACGATCGCGTCTAGACGCAAGAAATGTTTCACTGGAGACGCGATTTTTGCGTTTCTTTGCTGTGATTTACACGCAAAGAAACGCAATTCAGACGCGTTTTTATCGAAAAAAATATTTACATGGGCACACCCACACCCACACCCTCACACGCACCCACACCCACACCCCACACCCCACACCCACACCCTAGTTCGAGCATTTTTGAGTTTACTATAAGGGAGAACAAACAATTTTTCTGAGAGCAACCAAGACTTTTGGCGCCCCCTTTCACTTATCATTATTTGTTTATAAATTAATTGAAAGTTAAGATGAGTTAGAAACACATAATTCATTAAGTATATCAATTTAAGAGATTAGTTTTACAACTAAGCTTTGATGTTCAATCCCGATCAGCACAATAATTCTTTGGCACATATAAAAAGTTCGATTCTCTGAATTATATCAGTGATAAAATTTCTCTTATAGAAGGAGAAATAATAATGCATTTTTCTTTCAATTCCTATTTTAGCTAAAGATCTATGATATATAGACCAATAACTTGAGAGAATAAGTGAAACCTAGTGTTCACTCACAAAGATCAGTTTTAGCATAACTGAAAAAGAATTTTGATCAATCATGTTATTAAATATCTTTATTCAATGTACAAACTTTGTTAGTTTAAAAGCTATCAGTTCTTATGTGACATGTGTAAAACTAAAATAGTTTGAATTGATCAATAATTTATGCAGTGATAACATTAGTTTTGATGATTTCTCACTTTTTACTTTTTTTATCTCATCAGTATTAATCGTGGTGGAAAAAGTAGATCTAATTTCTTTTATCAAGCTAGTATTTCTTATGATAATACAAATCTAAATAAAAATACACAGTTTGATCGTTAAAGACCGTCTCTATAATTATCATACTCATGAAATTATGTGTTTCTACCTCATCTTAATATGTCAACTAATTTATAAAAAAAAAAGACAATGATAAGTTATAATCAGGTTATATCATTGCGATGAATTGCATTGCCACGAATTGTCCTAGTACCATTCTTTTTGTCAATCGTTATATTACTTATTCGATTTCTTTCATGTCAATAGGATATAGGTGTTGACTGTTTTTTTGAGTAAGGTATAGATGTATAGCTTAACTAATTCTTTTCTTCTACGAAATAAAATTCAACTCCTTAAATAAGATATATGTGTCACAAATAAAACTTGTAAGCTTTAACTTGGATTAAGTAGTCAATATACAGTAATTGAAGATTAATACTTCTTGTATGATACAAGCTATTTTGATTTTGTCGTCATAGGAGGTGAAATATTTTTAACTTTCGGGGAGCTCATAATTTTTTTAGATAACGATAGAAAATTTCAGTTAGAAGGGACGAACTTGTAATTTCATCGCTACAACATACAGTAAGTCACAAAATTATCCAACAAGATGTAATTTCGTTTTTTTTCCGTAGGCTTAAGTACTAGAAAGAATCCAAATAGTGATTTGAGCACCATTGTAAAGTGCATTGAACCATATATAGAAAGATTTTTCTGAAGATTTTACATAATGTCTCTCATGATTGCGATATTAATTTATTGATTTTCAGGAGTTTGATAGAAATGGCAGATGAAATGCTATTGAAAGTCTCTATTTTTAACTACTACTAATAAGATATTCTGGCTAATCAAGTGAAATTCATCACCGAGTTTTTCAGTGAAGGTTTTTCTTTCTGGTATTTCGATAAAAAAATCACTTTTTTCACCTAGGGGGTATTCTATGGGATCTCTACCACAAAATACACAAGTATTTCCAAATTTGATGAAACTTTCAGGATTTGTAGACCATGTTGAAGTATGAAAATCGGTCGATACAGTTTTGTAGATTTCATTAATAAATAAGGATATATGGAGCGTGGAATATCGATAATTTTCAGACAAATCAAAAAAGTTAGGATTTTTGCAAAAAATCATGTTTTAGAAGATTCTTCGAAAATCTTCAAAATAAACATAAAAGTTCTTTACAATCTACATGTATTATACATATTCTGGTTGCTCGCAACCTGGGCTACATTTTGAAAATAAAATATTGCGATGTTATTAACATATTCGTAATAATGTCCTTTCATGAATGGAACACACTGGCTATGCAAAAGTACGTTTTCTTGAATTAAAAAAAATATTTGGAAAAGTGGAATTACAGAATATTGCCATATATAGGGTTTTGTAGAGAATCACTTGCTCTACAAGATGCACTAGATTAGAATCGTCGCATTTTTAATTTGACAAAATTGGAAATAAAAGATTATGAAAAACATGCCATTTTTCAATAAAAATATGCTATTTTTCAATAAAAATCAAAATAACTCTGAGTTTTTTGACCGTTTTCGACTTTATAGCAAACCAATGCAACAAAATAAACACCATATTCGGCATCAGCGTTGAAAACTACATATAACCAAATATATTTTACAAAATTGTTTTTTCAAGCCAAATTCACCTCTGGAGGTCCATAGTAAAGTCCTTTGAAAATTTACCCGTGAGGGACCACAGGTCAATTTTGGCTCGAAAAAAAATTTTCTAAAATATATTTGGTTATATGTAGTTTTTAACGCTGATGCCGAATATGATGTTTATTTTGTTGCATTGGTTTGCTATAAGATCGAAAATGGTCAAAATATTCAGATTTTTTTGATTTTTATTGAAAAATGGTAGATTTTTCATAAAGTTTTGTATCCTATTTTATCAAATTAAAAATGCGACGATTCTAATCTAGTGCATCTTGTAGAGCAATCGATTCTGTACAAAACCCTATATATGGCTATCCTCTGTAATTCCACTTTTTTGATTAAGTTTTTAGCTCAAGAATGCATAGCACGGAGTTATCTTTCCTAAGGATTAATATGGTCCGGATATTAACAAAATTCCAACATATTATAGCCAATATGTAGCTCACGCAACGAGCTTTCAGAAGATGTATAATATGTATATATAATTAATATCTATGGATTTAATTTGAAGGAATCTTATGAAAGATAATTTTCGATAACATTCGAATTTTTCTGATTTTACTAAAAATTGTAGAAATATCATGATCGGTATATCCCTATTTATTAATGAAATTTACAAAAATGGTTCGGCCGATCTTCTAATTTCAACATGGTCTACAAACCCTGAAAGTTTCATCGAATTTGGAAAAACTCGATGTAAACGTGGTAGAGATCCCATGGAATATCCCCTAGGAGAAAAATGCAATTCTTTGAAAATATTTGACTAAAACCTTCAAAAAGTCGTTAGAAAAATATTTATACATATGGTTCGATGTAATTTTCAACGGTGAAAACCGCAGGTCTCTATCAAAAGTTATTCGAAAAATACTCACCGCCATTTATCTCTGAAATTGACATTACATTCATTCCCACATACTGAGAGAAAGACACCTCATGGAATTTCAAAAGTTTCATAGTAATTTACTACAGAGATGATATTGATCTGAATTTTTAACGACTGATACCGGTACTGATCCAAGCAGATTAGATCGGACCGAACCGACCCGGTACAGAAGTTTTTACCAATAGAAATTCTGTCTTTTGGATAATGATAGTTCAGTTAATCTACACCTGCCGAAACTTTCGTAGGTAATTTCTACAAGATAGCATTAACATTACACAGTTTTGAGTTAGTTTGTGGAATAAAATCGCGAAAGAAAAAAATAGGCCGATCTTGAAATCTGTACCGATACCAGTTTTACCTCTGATGTATTATATCACATTTTTTTCCGTCAGATGTCAGTATAAATTTGCCTTAGCAAATTCATAGCTGCATTTATCCACCCACACCTCTCTTCCTAAATTCACAGTAAAGTCTAGATCATTTATCACTTTTAAAATAAATAATAAATGAAAAGAAACATTTTTATTCTTTACTAAATAAAAATACTATGCATGCTTTTTTGCCACTTTTATATTACAAATCCACTTAAATGGCTATTTGCACTAAGACTGGCTTATCATTTTGAAATGGTGTTACTTATAAGTAAATTTGTATCTTTTCTTTTTTTTTGCTTTGTTCTGTCTTCTCATATTGCGCTACGATAAGAATACCTGCACGTGTTCTTGCACCTTAGAGACTCGATGCAATAGTTAAATGAAAGAGTACCTTACAGAACGGAAAAAATTGATTGCAGTGAATTGGTATGGCAATTATCTCATCTACTCTAAGAGCACCGTACCTTATATAGGATAAAAAAGTTGCTTTTCTTTCATTATTTCTTTTGCTGCAAGTATTTATTATCTGCATATGAGCGCTATGGAATTACGAATGAACGGTGATATAACTGGAGAAATTAATTTCTTTAGTCACACAATAGATGGTTGTGCTCCATGGTCGGATGCAACTCCTACTTTGGGCTCGGTAGCTACGAATTTCGCACGAACACCAGCTCGAGTTACTATTTATGATTTGCGTGGCAAAGAGAATACTCTTGATCTCGACATTAATGGCTTAGAAGTACATAAATATCATGGCCATATATATGATATATTTGACGATAACAGTGAGATACAACAATGTTATTATGAAGAAATTGTTAATGTGCTCAAAAATCGTCTAGGTGCTTCTCGTGTAATTGTCTTTAATCATATAATTCGTTATCGAGGAGCACCTCGTCCTGCTAATCAATGCGATCCGACTCATAAGAATCCGGTTTTTTATCCTCATGTGGATAATGATCCACCTGCAGCTTATTTCAAATTGAAAGAAATACTTGGAGAAGAAGAAGCTAAAACAGTCATGCAAAAACATTTTCAAATTATTAACGTTTGGCGACCATTAGGTCCTAATCCTATAATCAATATTCCATTAACCATTTGCGATTATCAATCATTAGATCCAAACAATGATCTTCATTCAGTGAAAGTTCGCGGATCCCAATCTTCTATCTCGGTTTATACGGTCTCGAGCAATATTCAAAATGCTCAAAAGTGGTATTATCTGAGTCAAATGCGATCGGATGAAATGTTTATGTTCAAAATTTTCGATACTAATCCTAATGTTGCTCAGTTTGGTGCTCATACAGCTTTTATTAATGAATATGTACCTTTAACAGATATCGAACAATGCAGTATTGAAGTACGCTGTCTTGTTCTTTATGATTAATAAGAAATATACTCTAACTGATGTTAACGAAAAGACAGCTTGAATGCTTCTTTTCAAAGCAATTCTTTGTAATTATTTAGTTTTAGTAAAAATTTTTTGTACATTTATAATTGGATAAAAAAAATTTTAATGGCTTACAATTATCAATCCTTCATTAGAAAGATTTTGATGATTCAACAATAGATCAAATGCGATTTCAGATTTATTTCATTAAAGAATTCAAGAAATTCAAATAAGACTTTACAAACTAACAAATCTATGAAAATAAGTATATTAATGAAAGTATGTGTTCTAAAGTCTGTCCGAAAAAAAGAATGACCGTGAGTATTTTTGCAAAAACTCAAGAACGGGAAGAGCTGCAGTTTTTACCATTGTGTAGGCCTTGGCTTCCTCTATGAATCCGCTAGTAAATGATACAAAATTATCATCTTTTTGGGTAATATTTTTATCAATCTTTGATTAGTGCGTAAATAGTTTTACTACTTTTATGATGACTTTTGGTTTTAAGTAAGTAAAAGACAGTCCAGAGGCCTCTCTACAAAATGGTGAAACGCCGACTTCTCTAGCTCTTATCGTTAAAAACTGAGACCCATTTTTCTGAAATCCATATCAATGGTTTTTTTTTCGACAAGTTACCTTTCCAGTATACATAGGAAAACAGGTCGTTGATCATGGGTTTCTTAGCGAGAACTACTGTTCTAAATCTCGAACAATGTTTGTGATTGAAAATCAAGAGATAGACTAACACAAAAGCAGCACGAATTGAAAATATGTAATCAAAATGCAAAGAAATGAAAACTCTGTAGCAATACACTGATAAACGTTAATTATTCATAAAAAAAATCAACATTTTATTCTTTTCTTTTCAAGTGCTGGGTCACTTTGGACACTTTCGAGAACAGCAATATTCTCATGAGTAAAGATGTAAACACATATCATGATAAACTGTTATATTATCAAAGGGTCATTGTGACACACATAATTGGTACTAAGAGTATTTATGCAACACAGAGAAAATAATACAAATGAAATAAATGTAATAGAGAAGAAAAAATTTTGATTTTTTATGAATAATTAACCTTTTTCAGTGTATTGCTATTGAGTTTTCATTTCTTTGCATTCTGATTATATATTTTGAATTCGTGCTGCTTTTGTATTAGTCTATCTCTTGATTTTCAATCACAAACATTATTCAAGATTTAGAACAGTAGTTCTCGCTAAGAAAGCCATGATCAACGACATGTTTTCCTTTATATACTAGTGGCGTAACTAGAAATCGTCGGGTGAGTGGGCACCGCTCTACCGGTTTCCAAAAGGTTATTTAAGGTGCTGCAGTATTTTTTTTCGTATAACAAAGATGTTATAGTTTACTTACCTTAAGAAACATGTTTTAAAAATTGTTATTCAGTTATTAAAACCGTTGAAAAATCGATTTTGATCTAGGAACGTTGGGACTAGCTGAAATTTGGAGGATATGTTGGGATCAATAACGGAAGTCTATGATAAAATTTTCAGCTCAAAACTATTTCATTTAAGGAATATATTGACCAAACAAAGACGAAAAATAGCTGATTTGGCATCTCTAATTTCTCTGTAATGGTTCATGCAATGCACTATTTTTTGCTGGAAAGAGCGTGTCAAGCTGCTGGGTACCGCATCGTCCTTTTTTTTGAAATACCCCCTTTTTAATCGGGAAAAAGTGGCCACAAGTTCCATGACTAAAAAGTTTATCAAACACTGGCAACCAAATGATTTCACTAACTTTATGTTGACTAAAGAAATGGGTTATTTCAAAGACGAGCGACGTGGTGATCCGCATCTTGACACGCTCATTTAAACAGAAAAAGTTTTAATACATTGGATGAACAATTACAAAAAAATTTCGAAAGCGCGTACGACAAAACAAAAATATGAAAAAACGAAGATTTTCTGATAAAAAACCGCTGGTTTTTCGAATAGGAGTTTCTAAAAATTTTGAAAACTTTTTCGAAAAAAGGAGGTACTGAGGAAAGGTTTTTATCGTATCTGATAAAGCAAATGACGGGCTATCTTCAAATGTAAATATCTCAATTTCGACAGTTCTCACGAAAATTGAATTTTTGAGGGGGAACTTAAGTGAAGAAAAATATCCAAATGTTATAAGGCTTTACTTTAACAAAGTTCGACTATTTTTATGCATATCAGCAAAATCATCCATGAGTTTTTCGAAATTAATAACAAAGTCACGTTCCACTGCTAAAACTAATTATTGTCACAATAGACGCTTCTCTATTCCAAACGACAATTTATGTTTAGCCCCTTGATCGTTAAGCTTTTTTTAAATTAAATAATAAACTTTTCGTACAAAATAACTTCTGATTCATGGAAATATAATCGATACGAAATATCAGAAACGGTAGAGCGAGCTCCAGTACATGCAGTATGTTAGAGTCGATACAGAGCATACAAAATAAAATAAATTGAAGAAATTATAGTCTTCATCTTTTCCATAAGGATTGTTGTGACGAGTATACTCGTCGTTAACAGTCGACGGGTTAAAAATGTATTCAATCAACCGGTCAATCAAATATTGTTAAAAAAATTTGCTTTTTTAAAAATTTTCGGTGAGTGGGCTGCGCCCACTCATGCCCTACCTTGGTTACGCCACTAATATATACTGACAAGCTAACTTGTCAAAAAAAACCACTGATATGGATTTCAGAAAAACGGGCCCCAGTTTTCAACTATAAGAGCTAGAGAGGTCGGCATTTCACCATTTTGTAGAGAGGCCTCTGGACTATTTTTTACCCACTTAAAATCAACAAGTCATCATAAAACTGAGAAAACTATTCAAAGATTGATAAAAAATATTACCCGAAAAGATGATAATTTGTATCATTTACTAACCGACTCATGGAAGAAGCCAAGGCCTATGCAATGGTAAAAACTGCAGCTCTTGCCGTTCTTGAGTTATTGCAAAAATACCCGCGATTATTCTTTTTTTGGACAGACCTTAGTTTGCTGAATTCTCATGACGATTATCTTTTTGAGAAAAATAAAGTAATGATTACGTAACTTATTAAAATATTTATCAAGTTTTCGAACACTAATATGAATATATTCAAGTCATGTAAGATGATCAATATATTTTCTATGAATATATTTAAAATCATTTGGAGAACATTTTATTTCATGTAAAACGTTTCAAATCGACGAATATAGATTGAATTAAATTTTTTGCGAATAAATTTAATTAAAAATGATATATGTTAATTACTTAATATGAATGATGAAGATTGAAGAGGATTAAGTCAATTAAATAATTATCAGTGATTAAACGATGAAAAGCTAATTCAAATTTTTTTGTAGTATATAAAATGAATATCATTATCTTCCTAATTTCACAGTAGTTTAGAAGGAAAACACACATTAATTAAAAAAAGAAGATAAGAGTAAACGAAAAAAAAATAATGTTCATTTAATGACCTTCATCAAACTGCATAGGTATGACTATTTTCATACTGATTTTTGAGACACATTGAGTATTGACTGCCTAATGAAGATAAAGAACACCATTGTTTTCTATTTATATAACCAGATACTGAAAAAGATGATTCGCAAGGAACAGAACTGCTTTGCATACATGAGTAATACTTTATAACTGAATTTAAATCAGGTGATTGTGTTCCATACAAGGGGGAAAAAGTGGACTTCTATACTTCTGAAGTACAGAAGTACCGAGAAGTACCGAGAAGTACTGAGAAGTACTGAGAAGTACGAAGAAGTACGAAGAAGTACGAAGAAGTACCGAGAAGTACCGAGAAGTACCGAGAAGTACCAAGAAGTACCGAGAAGTACTGAGAAGTACCGAGAAGTACTGAGAAGTACCAAGAAGTACCGAGAAGTACCAAGAAGTACATAGAGTTAATTTCAAGGGGGAAAAAGCGGACTTCTGTACTTCTTGGTACTTCTCAGTACTTCTTGGTACTTCTCAGTACTTCAGCATTCAATTGAATTCTGTTACTATTTTTAGTTGACATGAATGCTGTCGTGATTTCACGAAATTTTATTAGTATTTTAAAACTTAATGAAATATAGTTTTTCAGATATATGAAACAATTCTATTTTTATTTTTTGGTAGAGAAATTTAGGATAAATGTGTTCACTTCTCAAAATTCCTCTTTATTAATTTTGATATTTATAGAAACATATATTTCAATTTATATGTTTTTCTTG